GAAGGAATAAAGAAATCCTTAATTGTTTTCAGTTTCCCTGCGGTTTTTGCTTCGTTAATTAACCTACCGACTTCTCTCATTTTCTGCCTAATGTAATCATGCTTTGTCTTATCATGCCCGTGTTTTAAGTACAGGTGCTCTCCGAGTCTCAGAATCCCCTTTTCTGCTTTGACAACACCCGTGACCTCATCCTGATGCATTGCCGAAATTAAAGACCACAGCTTTTTGCTGATGCCCTCCGGTACAGGCTGGGCTAGGGAGCAGAGGGACTGGACCCTACTTCTACCTGGTTTAGCCTGGGCATCTTTCTGTGAAAGCCGGCACCTGGCCACATGCCTCCACAGCCACTTTCGCTTAAGCAATGCCCCACAGTCTATACAGTGCAAAAACTCACTGGATTTAACTGGGCAATTTGGCTGTTTAGCTGGGACTAAAGTTCCAATGCCGGCCTTTAAAACCTCAAAATTGTGCTCACGGTTTCCACTATTCCTGATCAAATCAAACTGAAGTTTACGTGCTTTAGATTTCACAGGTAGAGCCAATGCTCTGGCTACGTCACTTTCATTTCCATGTTTTCTAGTCAAATGACGGGATATTTTGTGGCAGGACATTGAACAGTAGAGGCAGAAGTGTCTCTTGCTATAAACTCGCCCCCCATTTTTCTTCTTTTGCAGCTGCATGATAACAATCTTATTTGCCTTTGGTTCGTCACTTTCCGAGTCTTGAAGAAAAGTGTTTTTGATTTTTCTTTTTCCATACTTTTTTACAGGTTTCTTCTTGACAGTTAAATCGTCAGAATCTGAGTCGACTTCATCAATTAGGGACTCTTGACTAAGCTGCACAAACAACAAATAATTTGTAATCATTCTATATAACAATTTGAAGTCATGACTTGTAGTCAGCACTTACCAGTGGTTTGTAAGCGTGCGCTTCAGTGTGCTCCTCCATGATTTCTTGCAGCCTAATGAACCACACACTTGCACCTTTTTCTAGCCTGACACCTGATTTCCTCTGTTGTGCTGCTCCATGATTGGCTCCAGCCTGCTGGACTGAAATTGCCCCAGTGTGCCCCTCCTTGATATCCCGCAACCCACCACCAGGGTTCCGACACATAACACACTTTTTTCAGGAAGGTAAACCTCCAGGGGTCCTTTCCATATTTTTACAGAGACTGCATAAGGACCATTAGAAAAGCATTACCCATTGATTATTAAGCTTGGACCAGTGGGGTCCGGTGTTCGGGCCCCACCACGTAAAACCAGTCCCCATGACGTGAGCGGAATCTCAGGTTATGGAACCCACCAGGAGTTGAAAACAAGTGCGCACACACACACACACACACACACACACACACACACACACACACACACACACACACACACACACACACACACACACACACACACACACACACGCTGCTCGAGGGAAGCGGCAGGATGGCAGAGATCCCGGGAGCCGCGGTCTCAAAATGTTACCGTTGCCATACCTCCAAAACTACGTCACTTTAGTCGAGACGAGAAAAAAGAAATATGTTTTCAGATGCCTACTTTGTAATCCCAAGAGAAAGTTCTTCTGTGACTTAATGAAAATAAGGTTGTGTGATGGTTGTTACGATTGTTTTCCTAAACGGGTCAGACATAGTTCTTTGCACAGTTCATTTGCAAACTTATGTATTTATTTTGTTTTCAATTTCAGAGGGCATTTTTGCTTAAGGTGATAGTCTGGACATTGTCAGAAAGAGAGATGTACGTGATTTGAAAAAAGATGACCCAAGCTCCCTCCCCCTTCCTTTCTGATTGGTCTCTCACTCATACAGACCCACGCACGCTCACAGCTCTGGCTAACGTACCCATAGCAATAACGTGCCCTCTTTAAAGGTGCCATATTTCGCTTTTATTAATCTTCCCATGCACATGTGTGATAATAATATGGGTGATACACCATAAGAAGAAGAAGGTCCTTTATTTGTCCCACAATGGGGAAATCTCAGTTTGATGCATACACATACACATATACACACATCAATGCAAGCAGCAAACATTACTTCCGCACTCCTTATAGGCAAAGTGGGCTAAGTGTCTTGCTCAAGGGCACAACGACAGCAGATATACAACACTCAAAACACGTCAAATTATAGCTATTCCGTGCATAGAGGTGATCTCAGCTCATGTGAAACGCTTGGATCAGTGCTCCTCTGCCTGTGAGCCCACCTCCCCCCGCCCGCACGGTTACGTAGCCTCACGCTAAGTTCAGAGCAAGTTCAGAGGTAAACAAGAGCTAACTGTACAGCTTTCACTGTCACAGTCATTTCACACATGAGAATACACTTTTTCCAACAATGGCAACCTGTCACCTGTCATAGATCAGACCCTAATTATTTAGTTAGCGAGTTTGTTGCATTGTACTCACGGAGGCTCCTGTTAGCGTTTTTTTATGTTGGAAATAACACCAGGTTTCCAGATCAGCTTGTGAGTAGGTCTGGTTTTTAAAGCTACAGAATCGAGTGGTAGACGTAGAACTGGTTCTTATAAAGCCCTGTACGAGACCATCGATGGAGGATCTCCCCTAAAGTTACTATCACCGAGCGTCACTCCCAGGCTGGCAGCAGCAGACAGCTACTTCCGAAACAGAATGGATTTACCTTTTCTGTCAGTGCATGTCCATCAACAAACCATTATGCAACAGACCTGTGCGCACACAGGTCTTGCGCTTAATGGTTTAAAATCAGCCCCATTCCGTCCTCCCCAGCATTGTTGAACTTTGACTCCAGCATTTACTAGAGTGTTGGTGTTAACAGAATTGTTCTCATTGATAACGGTTTTAGTATCAATATAATTTTTATTCTTAATTAGGCTATAACTGTCTGTTACATAATAGCTCAGGCAGCTCGACCTGTGGTGTTAAAATGGTTTTGATATTATGCATAATATGCTACTTATATTATTGTTTAGTGTATGTAAAAATTAATTGAAACTGTAATGGCAATAAACAATGTTGGAGTTTTCAAATAACCCTTTCTATTTCTTCCTATTGTTTCCAAGTTGATGCCTACAAGATCAGACTGGCAGCCTGAATAATTTGTTTAAACAACAAAAAAGGCGAAATAATATTGGGCGGGTATTGATGAGGTTTTGGGCTGGAAAATCTCGCTAGCATCGGGGGAACCCTGCCAGGGTCATTAGACCTGCTCCCTTCCACTTTGCAGCAGAGCTTAGATGAGTTAAGCCCTGTCCCAATTCTCACCCTAGCCCTCAAAAAGTACCCTTAAAGGGAGCAGAGGCGAGTTCACTCACACCCTTAATAACTACCCTCGCGCCCAAGTGAGCTCCGTTCATTAATGCCGCAACTCTCCTCCTCCCCATCTCCGCCTGGTTCGAGGCCAGCTCTTTCATCCTTTTCCTCAGGTACCACCACCAGGGTCCAGGCCCCGGGGGATTCCATCTCATCATCTCTTTACACCTCTGCTATCATTCAGTGCTCTATCAGGGTCCAAGCGCCAAGTCCTAACCAAATTCTGTACAAAACAATACATCTAATCTTGAAAATAGTCCTCATTACAGAGCGAGGAGTAGTGGGAGGTAGGTGATCAGCGAGTGTGTGTGGTTGTGTGTTGTGCTTTTGTCAAGTGTGTGTGTGTTGTCTCGTTTTGTTTGTTATTGTGTTGCATGTGTGTTATTATGTTGGGAGATTGTGTTGGTTGTGTTGAAAGAGAGAGGGGATGGAGCCAAATAAGCATTTGCATTGTCCAGCATCTTTTTGAAACCGTTTGTTTATATCACTCTCGCTTTTGCATGTTCTGCCCCTGTCCGCACAATAGGTCGGGCATATGCCTTCTTATGACGACCTCGCTCCAATCTCTGTGTGGAGTGAAAGACAAATGCCTACAATAATTGTCAAGCGCTTTGTGACTCTGGACTGTGATATGCGCTAAATAAATAAAGATTACTTACTTGCTAACCAATATATGATTTAAAAAGTCTCTCAAGATTGAAATAGCACTGTTTACAATAACACATCACACTCCAACAGCCTTCAAATGACCAGCAGCTTCAGCCGCAGTCAGTTAAGGAGGTAATTGTCTGTAATACTGCTCTGTATTATATCTTTATAACAGAAATGAACCGTGAGAAGAGAAGTGGCTCACTGCAGATGACTCTCGAGGTGCGTGTGTAATGTTTATATGATGCTGATTCTAATGTCTCTGAGGCGATGTTATGTCTTGAGATCTCTTGTACGACAGCGAGAAAATACAAGAAACAGCCTGGAGCCTAATACGAGTGCTAATCTGCTGCCGAGCAGGCGATTGTGAGATCGAGAGATGAGATTGTGATGGAGATCTGCTATTTCTACATTTGAACTGATATGCCCTGCCCTGCTATATTTCTTTATCATGCTAAAGTTTGAGATGTTATACTTGCTCCTTTTTTAATGCTAAAGTTAGAGATTAAAAGGGGCAGATGTGTTGCCACAAAATGTCTAAGGCAAGCTGGAGTTTCCCTCTCGAATGAACCGCATCTGATCACGTTGGAGCATAACTTTGTCGATGAGCACTTTCCTCGGGCTTCATTGAGCTAGCAGGTTAGCATGGTCCATCTACTGTATAAACAGACTCATACAAGGTAATATGGATGAAGGGACACACTATTCGACCTGGTGTTTCCTGAGGTCTCCCATCATAGTACTAACCAGGCCATGCCTTGCTTATCTTCTGAGATCTTATTGGCTCATGCTTTCACATGCAGGTGTGCAACAAAGCTTATTGAGTCATGTAAATATGGTCATTTGAAAAATGTACCCCTCATGATTATTAGATTTTGACTTTATATTGAAAAAACAGTGTTTTTCTCATACCGATTAGTTTTAAGAACATTCATGAAAAGACAAAACTCATTTACATTATGTCTATATTTTATTTAAGCCCATTGGTGTTTCCTGGCTTCTGATTGGACACGCCCTCTCGTCTTGTGAGCTGTGATTGGCTGTGGCGGGAGACGTTCGGCCTATCCAATGACGTTTCCGTGCTCATCCACTTCCTGGATGATGGTCACCACTTTGGTCCTGGTGGTGGTGGTGGTCACAGATTGCCTAAAGAAGAAAATAAAAACAAGATTTTACCATCGACAGCAGAGACGGATGGATTAAGGAACGTGTATGCACTCAAGTGCATAACAGAAAGCAGGGTCTGAAACAAATCAATCCTACATTCAATTATTACATTTATACCATACAGTTTTGATTGAAATTGTCTTCCTCTTTTCTCTGTTCCGTCTCAGTGCACACAGCCCCAACTCTCTCCTCCTTCACTCATCAATTTAATTAATTAAGTGATTAAAACGCTTTACAGGCTGCAAATCCGCACAAACCATTAGTTTTTTAAACCTAAATGGTTTTCACTATCTAATTGAAAAGAAAGACTTTTTCTCTGGTCTGCTGCTTCTTTACAATGGTCTCGGTCGAGAGAGTCTCTGGTTTTCTACCTTCATTCATACGTTGCAGTCAATAGGGTTATGGGTTGAGTTAGGATTCACTATTCAGCACTTACTTAATTCACTGTTATTTACTGAGCGGTAATCTAAAGTAGTTGTTTCAAACTCATTTTGGTCAGGGGCTAAGTTTAAAACAAACAAAAAGCGATAAAAGATGAGGTAAAATTCTGCTATCAAGTGTTTTTCATCTTAAGTTTGAGTAAATTCTGTCTAAAACAAAATTTGGGACAATGGGACAACAACTGCATTTTTTATTCCAAGGGAGACTTTTTTCTCTGTCACATTTGCAGATCTAGTTTTAAAGCAGTCAAAATGTGCTCAAATTAAGATACAAATTTGAGCATGTGTTGGCTTGTTTTTCATCTCTTTTTGCAGGGTTGTGTTTGTAATCTCTCACTTTTCATTCTCTCCATCAAGCAGTCGGCGGTACTCTGCGATCTCCAGCTCCAGCCGGGTCTTGATGTCCAGCAGGATGTTGTACTGCTCCTTCTGATTGGCCAGGTCTCCTCGGAGCGAACTCAGCTGCTCCTCCAGCGACACCACCTGCTGCTGAAACCTCTGCATCATCATGGCGAAGCGCTCGTTCACCTCGGCCAGGTTCGCCTCCCGAGCTCCTTTCTGCAGACGAGGAAGAAGAGGAGAGATTATACATTACACAGAATACTACAACAGTAAGCTTTATGTGGTCTTTCTGCCACAGATGTGAGCCTTCTGCTGTCAATCTATTTCAATGCAAAACCATTTATTCTGGTATAGCCCTAAATCACAACAGCTGTTATCTCAGAGGACATTTCAAAGCTGTTGATTCGCCAACACAGATCAGAATCACACAGTTCAAACACAGGAAATGCAATGATAAAAAACACATAAGAGTCTTGTGTGTGTGTGTGTTGTCTTGTGTTATACCATTTTTATGTATTGTGTTACAAATCTGCTCTATAGATTTTATATGGTTCTTTTTGACGTTTTTGTTCCAAATCATCGTCCCTGTTTATAGCGTCTTTGTTGCGTGTTCAGTATTTCACAGCAAAATATTGTGTATGTAACAATACTAATATTGTTAATAATATTTTCTGGTTTAATTCTACACTTGCGTCAGTTTGCTCCAATTTAAAGGGGAGCTAATTACTTTTACAGGTCTTTCGAGAGGAATGTTTTACATGCACTGTTTTTAACGGACATAATAGCATAAAACAAACAGCAAGTTGATGAAACGTTTTTGAGAGAAGATGGTGGTAGCGAACCTTGCTGAGCTGAGCCTGAAGTTTGATCTGCAGAGTGTCCAGAGTGCGGCGGAGCTCCGAGATTTCAGTGCGACTGCTCTTCAGGGTCTCGGTGCTCGAGGCCATGTCTTTGTTCAGCTCAGTGCTCTGGAGAAGAGAGAAGCTTTAGAGACATAGAAACATCTGTCTGCAACCTTTCATGGTGTCAATCACTGTCACATTTTCTGTCTTTTTGCAGACCCTGAGTGACCCTATTTATGCCAAATGTAATGTTCTGTATTGTGAGTCCATGAACATTTGATCTTATTTCTTTTTATTGCCATTTTTAGTGACAAGAAGTCACAAACTAGGAAAATGTTTTAGCTTTCTACATAACATTTCTTAAAATTAATACTACACAAGTGCACTAAATACACACAATAGACGTTAGCAGGGCATTAAAGTGACAGTAATGACCGTAAAGTGACAGTAGTGAATGGAAAGTGACAGTAAAGTGACAGTAGTGACAGTAAAGTGACAGTAAAGTGACAGTAAAGTGACAGTAGTGACAGTAAAGTGACAGTAAAGTGACAGTAAAGTGACAGTAAAGTGACAGTAAAGTGACAGTAAAGTGACAGTAAAGTGACAGTAAAGAGACAGTAAAGTGATAGTAAAGTGACAGTAAAGTGACAGTAAAGTGAAAGTAAAGTGACAGTAAAGTGACAGTAAAGTGACAGTAAAGTGACAGTAAAGTGATAGTAAAGTGACAGTAAAGTGACAGTAAAGTGACAGTAAAGTGACAGTAAAGTGACAGTAGTGACAGTAAAGTGATAGTAAAGTGATAGTAAAGTGACAGAAGTGACAGTAAAGTGATAGTAAAGTGATAGTAAAGTGACAGTAAAGTGACAGTAAAGTGACAGTAAAGTGACAGTAAAGTGACAGTAAAGTGACAGTAGTGACAGTAAAGTGATAGTAAAGTGATAGTAAAGTGACAGAAGTGACAGTAAAGTGACAGTAAAGTGATAGTAAAGTGACAGAAGTGACAGTAAAGTGACAGTAAAGTGACAGTAAAGTGACAGTAAAGTGACAGTAGTGACAGTAAAGTGATAGTAAAGTGATAGTAAAGTGACAGAAGTGACAGTAAAGTGATAGTAAAGTGATAGTAAAGTGACAGTAAAGTGACAGTAAAGTGACAGTAAAGTGACAGTAAAGTGACAGTAAAGTGACAGTAGTGACAGTAAAGTGATAGTAAAGTGATAGTAAAGTGACAGAAGTGACAGTAAAGTGACAGTAAAGTGACAGTAAAGTGACAGTAAAGTGACAGTAGTGACAGTAAAATGACGCTCTTAATCAAAATTGCATGACAATGTCAATCTGAAAGAGATTCCGGCAAAAAAAATCCTATATTTTATAAAAAGAAGGTGTTTTTCATGAATTTAAGTTGTCTATGCTCTAACCCAGCCATTCCCAAACTCAGTAACACCGAGGCCCCCTTAAAAATCTGACGGGTCTGCGTGGCCCCCCTAAATAATAACCAAGAAGACAACATTAAGAATAGGCTCTTCTGGTTATTTTATTTTGGGGAAATAGCCTCTGCTACAAACATTGTAATACAAAAATGATTACAGTGGATTATTCAAGTCAAATAATGAACACAAATATTTTAATATTACAAACAAAACATTATAAATTTAACATTCAATAATTATATTATTTTTTTATTTTTTGTATGACCTCCCGCGGCCCCCCTGCAGTACCCTCGCGGCCCACCAGGGGGCCGCGGACCCCACTTTGGGAGACACTGCTCTAACCTGTGTGTGACGTCATAGTGGGTTACGCCCATGCATTGAAAACCATGGATCTATGCCACAGGACTGCCTTTTCTCTCTTCTCTCCACTGATGCCCAACACAATACTGCACTCTACAGGTGACAATTGCTCACTACACATAAATTGCCGTTTGAGAGTGAAAAAGTGTCTGAGGTGGGATTTGAACCCCAGTATCTGGATTGGTAGTCCATCGACACAACCACTGGACTATCTCAGTGCCAATAAAGATTTACAATCTAGTATTTATGTCAGACTCGCTGTACACGGCCTTGTCATCTTGAATATCCGCGAAAAAAGAACGAATACCAAATTGTAAACAACTTACAGCGTTGAAACGTACCCACTCTGACGTCACCAAGGGCTGTGAAGTTTTTTCGTCTCTAAGGGCGTTGCTATGGGGTTATTTCGATTTGGGGGGATCAGACAAAAAAAACAACAACTGATTTTGAAACCTTTAGTAGTTCTCTTCTAATATAAAATGGTATTAAAACTGTATTTCTAAATAAATCAAACCCGGCATAAGGTCTTTAAAGGACAACCTGGAATCAATATCTCTCTGCTTTTTCTGTTTTATAAAAGCTCTCTGATCAAAAAGGTTGGAGACGACTGTCTTATTCTGTTTCAGGGCTCCACCTTTTGTCTGTCTCACATCATACTTCTGAAAAAACTTAATAAAAACAATTGGATAAATGAGAAGCGAAGACTGTTCCATCACAGCGAGAACTTTCAATCAATCTTCCTTCTTTGGATGTTACATGTATGGACTGGTAGAAGTACACACCTTGGTCTGGAACCAGGCCTCCAGCTCCCTGCGGTTCTTGTCAGCCACGCCCTCGTAGTGCTCTCTGATTCCAGCCATGACCAGACTGAGGTCCTGCTGAGGAGCGGCGTCCACCTCCACGTTCACAGAGCCTCCCATGTTGGAGCGCAGAGCCATCAGATCCTGCAAATACAGGACAGTAGTTTAGTTTGCTATCGGCCTATAACACTAGATCCCATTGGTCATTGGTCATCCATGTAACTTGAAATACAGACATAAAAACCATTGTCGAAAGGATAATGCTAACTGGTAGCAAACTAACAGTATGTTGCCATGGTTACTGGTGCTTTTTCTTCTTTACTTCTCTACTCCATTTAAAAATGAAAAGACAAGTTCATGTAAACAATTACATTAAACTACACAAAGAAACAGATCAAAAAAAGTGCATGAACAGAGAGATCTCGTGTTCAAAATGTATTGACTGCACTTCAGCTTCTTATGTTCACTGTGAGACATATTATTTGTATAAAGCTGCATGCACTTTTCCAGTCAGCAAGATTCAGAATTAGCATCCAGCAATGAGATTTACACCACTATACTTATGTCTGCACCGCACAGCCACTTTCTACAGCCTGTATCCTACATCTACAACCTGTCCGTCCTGGTAGCAAATACCTCTCTCAATGTCACTTTTTCCCACTACAAATACATTGAATTGAATTGAATTATATGTGTTACGGCAAGCAGCTGGACTAGACAAGATTCCACGCTGATGATTTCTGGACTAAAACCAGCACAAGAAGAAGCCAATGTTAAACTTTAATTATACAAAAAGAATAAAGAGGACCACTAATGAATGAATGTAAATATATAAATGATGATGTTTTTGATTCAGAAACACATTCAAACCCAAACTCCCTGGGCCCTCACCTCCTCGTGCTGCCTCTTAATCTGGAAGAGGTCATCCTTCAGACCCTCCAGCTCCATGTCCAGGCCTGAGCGAGCGCGGGTCAGCTCGTCCAGGGCCCTCTTCAGCCCCATGATGTCTGCCTCCACCGACTGACGCATGGCCAGCTCGTTCTCATACCTGTCACGAGGAGAACGTGCAAAAACACCACTCAAGAGGATGCGAGAAGTGGAGAAGGACGTGGGAGGATAGAGCTGAATAGTGAAAGAGGTCAGCCTGGTTTAGCTCTTTTTGGTCTGGTTCACCTCAGATTTTTCTTATTGTCTATTGTCAAGACCACCGTCGATTGATTTTGTTTTTCCCCTTAATCCATTTCTGGGTCAGGGGGTGGCATTCAAAGCTGCACCCAGTACACAGAGCACCAGCCCCTCACTGATCCTCCTGCAGGTGGTGAGTCCATAGGAGCCTTGATCTATCAGCTCCTGTGTGTCCTTGGGCTTCTTGCCCAAGGACACAACAACAGCAGTCATCAGTGGGAGTCTTGAAGTTGGTCTTGTGGTGGGCTCGGACTCACGACCTTCAGGCCTAAAGGCCAATGCTCTATCAACTGAGCCACTGTTGTCCTAGCTTTACCATACTAAAATAAAGTCTATAACTTCAGCAGAAAGGAATATGATGAAAGGCAACAAATTCACATGAATGAATTCATTAATTCATTCAACTAATGTATGAATGTCAAATTTACAATGTCATAAAATCCACGTAGCTGGTCCCTTGCCCTCAAAACACTTTTTACACTTTTGCCAAATTTGAAAAATGTTTGACTCATGTTCATCACTTTTAACAACAAAGCTTGAATGGAGTGATTACCACAACATATATACTGTACATATATACTGTACAACCAAAATTTACACCAATATCTCAATAAGCTCAGAAGCCCTCGTTATAATAGTTATAATTAGTTATAATTAGGGCTAGGACTCGATAAAAAAAAAATCTAATTAATTGGAGGCTTTGTAATTAATTAATTTGACCTGAGAACATTGAGAAGTAATACATATTATGCATGCGCGGGCGGTAGCCAGCTGCAAGTTGCATCGCTCCCCCTCTTCTTCCTCCTTTCTTACTTTTTAGCTTACTTATTTTTATCTTTTCTGTAACTGCTGGATGAAGCTAGTGCCCACTTAGGAAGTGAGACACGCCGTGTTTTCCACCGTTTTCCTCATCATAAAGTTTGGATTATACCTGTGAACGGAGATGTGCCACGCCCTCCGATATTGGGTGTAAACAATATGTTGTAAAAAAAAAAAAAAAAAGATTAAAAAGCGTCTAATTTTTTAACATGCTAATTTTTTAACATGCTAATTTTTGTGTAATTAATGAATCTTAACGCGTTAAAGTCCCGGCCCTAGTTATAATTGTATTATTAAATATTGGTGAATCATTTCTCACTTGACTTTGAAGTCGTCGGCTGCCAGTTTGGCGTTGTCCACAGACAAGAACAGACTGGCGTTCACATGTGCAGCGTGAACAATCTGAAAACACATGAGATAAACAATGACATCAGACAGCGCTGGTATGCAGTCTACGGTGTGAATGTGCTGCAGGTGACAGTTACAGAGGCACATGTCGTGTTATTCCTGTACAAACACCAGTGATATTTGCCCAGTACCTTTTCCTGGAGGCCGGCGATGGTGACCCTGTGGGCGGAGCTGTCGTGCATAGAGATAGAGGTCCGGTTGTCCAGGAAATTCCTGATCTTCATCTCCAGGTCGGCGTTGGACTTCTCCAAGCTGCGCACCTATGTGGAAGGAGCACCGGGTCAAACTGCATCACTGCAGGAAGAATAGAACTGAAAAGAAAGGGATCCATATTTTACGTGCACACATGTTGTCTGGTCTGCCTGCACATGGACACACTTGAATTGACAACTTTGTAAAGTTATCAGAGACGGAAGCTTTCGTGATTAAAAGATATACGTCAAGTGCATTGAATTGAAAGGAATAAGACCAAGAGAAAATTGTAAGAAAATAATATTACGATACTAGTTTTGAATGAAGAGAAATCTAATCTAATCCGTTAACAGTGTAGTTATACATACAGCATATGTTCAAATATGTTTCTTGAACACTGTACTGCATCTGCACTGGATCTACAGTATTTAACAACCGTTCCCCATCCTAGTAGCAATATCTGTCACTTTTTCAGTTTGTACAGATGTATTTCACATTTACCTGAAAGGTGAGTTAAAGTAGTCACTAAATATAGGTTAAATGGGATTCTACCAATATTTATGAGAAATTAAAGCTAAAAAAAGTGTTCAAATCTTTTACATGCATTGACTAGAGGTAAACCAAAATGATCAATTTCAGATTTTAAGGGAGACCTTGGACTTACATTTTTAAGGAAAATTTGAATAGTTGATTTGCTAGTTTCACTTCTTGAGCAAATCCTTTCGAATGTACTGCTAACAACAAAACATGTTGAAGATTTTAACTAGCATAAGTGAATATAGTAAAGCAATATTCAAATAAAGAATAAACAAGTCAGTACTTTATCTTTAAATTTACGTTGCATGATGAATTGGTTTGTGCGGGAAACCGGAGCACACGGAGGAAACCCACCCAAACACGTGGCGAAACATGCAAACAGTACACAGACCTTCCCTAAAGAAAATGTTAAAAATCTCTTTTGGTGTGTACCTTTTCGAGGTAGGTGGCCAGGCGGTCGTTGAGGTTCTGCATGGTTCCTTTCTCGTTCATGTCCAGCCCTTCGGACACCTCGAAGCCCGCGCCCTGAGACCCGCCGCTGGCACTGGAGATCCTCACCCCGGACCCCCCTGCGCCCCCATAGACGCTGCCCACAGCGCGGCGACCGGGGCCAGAGCGAGCAGAGGAGGAGCTGATGGAGCGACTGGTGTACATGGTGAGAGGAGGAGAGATCGACGAAGAGAGTGTTGATGGTGCTCTCACTCCGGCCTTTTATCCTCCTCTACTCCCCTCTCTACTCCCCCCCTTGCAGGATGTAGGCTACGCCCGTGTCGGACAGGTTTGGGTACATTGACAGTGCCACCCCGCCCCCAAAACCAGAGTCCCCGGTCTGGCTCAAACTCACTGGAAAAAGACTGGTTTTTCAAAAATGTAGAACACCACTCAAAATAAGTGACATTTCGCAAAGTTGTAAGCAGAAATTTGGTTTTTTTTTACGATTTGATTGATGTTGACAGAAGCTAAATCACACATTGCGGTTTAACACTGGGGTACCTAACTTTCAAACTATGAAAGATCAGTTTATGTAGTAAAACTTATAGCGTTTCCTGAGCTTTGGAAAAAAATAGGTTTTATCTCTCCATTTTTTGGCCTGTCACATCTTTAGATCAGCTTTTACAGACAGAAAAGTAAAAAAGAGGACCACCCTCACTCTCCCAAGCCGTTCACAGCCCTGGCAGTCAAAGAGTGACTCACAAGGCTCTTTCTCACTAATAAAAGGTTTTCTAATATGATGCAGACAGTCTGTTATGGTCTGATTTGTTCATAACACTGAACCTTAACAATACCTTTTCTGTTGGGATGAACAACAAATATTATTATTTAAGGAAAAAGTTGTATACCTCAGCTTTAGGTTAAAAACACACACTGCAAAAAGTAAGTGAAAGATGGCTTAAATCATGCTAACTTTGTCTCGATTTGGTTATAAAGGGATTTTGCAGGACGATTTGAGAGTTTCACTTGCAGTAAACAAATAATAAAAAAAAACTCGAATGAAAAATGACTAAACACTTCTGGATACTTCTGTTCTCATAAGTCAAACAAATGGGGTAAAGCTTGTTCCAACGGCAAATCTTTGATCAAATTAAACTAAAGAGAAAGAGAAATACTTAAAAGCACACATAAACATACTTTCTCCATCCTCTTTTGATGCATTTCTAAAATAATCGCTCTGCCATTCCTATGAAGTGTGACCTTGGAAACAGAGTAGCCACTATTTCCAATTCAATTAAAATAACTTTATAGATCAGAAACGTCTCGAAATCGCTCAAAACTAATCAAAATAATTGGCTTTTCACAGGCATTTTTTCCCCATAACAGATAGATTCCTGCATCATTATCTTCCTGGCTCTTTATTCAATACAACAAAATGTGAAAACGAGGGACAGAACCAACTGTTTTGAGCGCGAGAGACTAACTTTACTGCTTGATGTTTACTCTGTGCACTATTCATCATCATCATCATCATCAACTTTTATTACAGACTGGTCCAGGATAAACCCATCACATAAAACACAAAACAACACATCATATCACAGCAATAAGCCTCACTTCTCGAAGCAAAGAGCAGTACCAGTGTCTCCACAGATCTGACTGGTACAGCGTGGCAATGAGTTTGACATTTTTCAGGCTTATGATTATGATATTCTGACTTTCATTGAGCCGACAGATAAAACTGTACATCAGACATCAAATGGTTGCCTGAAATGTCCTGATTCCAGCTGACACAAACAAAGTACTTGCACTTTCCCATCTTGGCCTTTTCAACGCCTTTTGTGTGTTCTTTGTTTTGTATGGACCCTTTGTGTGTCTGAATAACAGATTAAATACATACAATGAAGTGCTATACTTGTATATCATGGGATTTGAAGTCCAAAGATCAATAAAGCTGCTTTAAGCTCAACAAGTCACTTTAAGTCACTTGCATTAGAACTGAAAAAACCTGCACTACTGTTGACACTGGTTCCTGTATTGCCACTTTTTTATTGTACATAATATATCCTGCATTTAACATGTTGCACATTTTTTTCTTTTGCACAATCTTGAGTGATTCTATCCATGCCAGATTCCTCCTGTGTGAGATCAATAAAGTCTATCTTATCTTATCTTATTGATGGAAAAATACAAATATGTAGAACTAAGAACAATTTCTATTACTATTTGCATGAGTCTGGTCCTGTCGTCCCTAAACTGGATCGTGATCAAGAGTCACTCAAAAAAAGTGAAATTGTTGAAAGTTTACGAGCGAGAATGTGTTTCTGGTGGTGATTATTGAGAGCAGCAGTGACAGGACGGACAGGTGTCAGAGGGACTTGTCTTGTTTGTGTTTAAAGCCAAGAAGAAATACCAGAGTTAGTCAAGTTCTGATGCAGCTTGAAATGTGTCTTTGAAGAATATTCGCTGCAAAAAGTCATAACAGATATGAAGGGTTTTCTTAATCTTATTGAGGACTTTGTGATCGTCTTTGAACATGGTTTTCTGGATTAGTGGATTAGATTCATTACAAATGCAGATGTGATTAATATTTTCAATAGGGGATTTGCTTGTTTCTTTTTGATAAATTTTTTGCTTGTCCCATTGACATCTTGCTCTAAAAAAATCTTTAAAAAGTACTGTATACTCTTTATCAAATCAAGATAAATTTAGACTTTGTTCAATCAAGTGTCTGCTTATTTTTGATGTACTTTTTGCAACAATATTTTGCTTTTGTGACACACTAGTTTATCTTTTGTTTGTTTGAAATAAACCTCTAAATTAATATTGATAAGAGTAAGCTGAGTTGCACTGAGAAAAAAAACTGAAAACGAACATAGTCAAAACAAAGTCACTGCAACCGTTGATTTACCAACACAGATCAGAGAATCAAACTGTTCAAACACAATAAATGCAATGATAAAAAAAAACAAAAGCAAAACACATAGAGCCATTGGTTCATAAGGAGCAGAGACCAATGTCCACGCAGCATCGTCTGCACTGGTGTCTGAGCAGTGGCGGACCCTTACCCTAAACATAATTGGGAATACATAAACATATTTGTTCCATTCTCTCCACACGGTGATGACAAAAGCGAGAAGTCAAACACACTGGCGCATCAAAGCCCCCAACAAACACCATCCATTCATTTACTCATTATATTCATAGCTATTGTGCATTTTTTTCCGTGGTTGGGGAAACCGGAGCCTGGACGAAACCGGAGCACCTGGAGGAAACCTACGCAGACACAGGGAGAACTTGTGAACTCCACCCGGCAAACCAGTATCTCCACCCAGTATCTTTTTGCAACTAGTCTCGTTCTTGATAAAAGCTGGTTTTAAATTGTATAATTGTGAAAAAGCTTATCTCTCGCTTTATCATCTTTGCCAAAATGCCTTTTCAAAGCTACAAATCCATCACACATTAAAGACACAAGTAAAAGACAAGAGGACACATGTTGAATTTGAACATGTCACATTTCAACACAACGTTTTATCACCATCTTGTAATAGCCTCAACTCAATGTCAGCTATAAATTCCACACATTGGACCGATTTCTCGACTTAAAGGGCATTTTAAGACACACTCAAAGATGAAGCAAACCGCATTCTTGACGTTGTCTCTGGTGTTTCAAAAGCTCTGACCGCCCTGGTATGTTGCCTCTACTTCCGGAGCTTTCTGCCCTCTGGCTTCGTTCAAAGACAAAAGTGAATTATGCATCAAAGCTACCTGACAAGCCTCAAGATAAAATGCACTATAGATTTTGCAACATTTCCACCCAGAGAACGAGATTTACGGCTTTCATTTGATTCACTTTTCACAAGCTGTTGTTTATGTCATGTATCTCTTCACAAAGAGCGCATCCACACTTCCCATTACTACAATTCATACATGTGGGAATTAGATTGTCAAGTGCATGGCAGGTTTATGAGCGTCTTTGACTTTTGTTTGGTGGATTGGCACTATGGGAATTAGACAGCTATATCTGGCCTTGCGTAGGTCACAACGACCCGATTGTGTGTCTGCTATGATTGTGTGTCCTTGTTCTCTCGATGCGACACGTATGTTTTCCCAACCGTTGACTATATAAACCATATCTGATTATGTTCTGTCTGAAAAAACCTGGAAGAAACCTGAGAGAGAAACTGAATAAACTTCCAGCACCCGCTTCAATAATAATAATAATGATAATTATAGCTTTCTTTGTATTGCACCTTTCAGACACAAATGCAGTTCAAAGTGCTCCACAGCAGCAAAATACAACAACGACAAAACAATAGCCGACATTTCTACAACAAGTCATCAATAGTCGCACAACAGCAGAATGAATATATTATTTAAAAGTAAATAAAAACCCAAAGAGACACACACACACACTGTCTGATTGAAAACCTGAACGGGTTTGTAGAAAATACTTTCGCCAAACTTGCTAAACTTAAGGAGGCTGAACGACCTCTTTTGCACTGCACTCTCTCAAGTGTGTGTGTGAGTGCAAGTGTGAGTGTACGTGTGTGTGTGTGCGTGTGTGTGTATGTGTGTGTATGTGTGAGTTCAGGTCCGGTGTGTGATGGTAGAATTCTATAGGGAAAGCTGTGGATGAAAGGCGCAGCTCTAATGAAGGCAGAGTGTGACATCACAGAGGGATCAAGGGGAGACTTCAAGATGAGACCCAGCGACACGTCAACCACAATATCAAGCACAACATCAAACAGACACAATTCTCTCTTAGCAACCGCATAGTAATAATAATAATAATGCATCGGTTTTATACAGCGCTTTTCTGGACACTCAAAGATGCTTCAATGTCATTATTAATACACTCCAAACACGGTGGTGATAAACTACTACTGTAGCCACAGCTGCCCTGGGGCACACTGACAGAAGCGAGGCAACCAGTATGTTCCATCGGCCCCTCCGATCACCACCAACCATTCACACACACCAGACTCATTCTAGGCAATGGGGTAAAGTGTCTTGCCTAAGGGCACAACGGCAGTTTGGCACTTTACAGCCGCAGCCGCCCCACTGTGGCTGGTGTTCCCAGAGGTTAAGTGTCTTGCCAAGGACACAACGACAGCCGACAGTGGGAGTCGATGGTGAAGGTCGGCTCCAACCCATGACCCTCTGGCTCAAAGGCCAATGCTCTACCAACTGAGCTACTGTCACCCTATTAGTAACCAAGT